GTGGAACAGCCCTTGCACATCAGGAGATTGAACGCGTCATCGGCAATCCTTTCAGGACATGCCCAACCTTGTCACCTTCTGTCATGTCGCTTTTGGCCTTTCGGCAGCGGGCCAGCACATCTTGAATGTATGGGAGGTATGATTCCGTGGGAGATTGGGCACGGCAAGCCAATTTCTTTTTGGTGGCGATCTTACGACTGGCGGTTTTTTCCAAACACTTCTGGCATCTTTTATTTGCGTTGGTTCCAGCTTGTGAGTTCTTCTTCGTTGTTTTCATACTACACCTTGGCCGTGCCTCTCAAGTAGAACAGCACATTAGCCAACTGAAGTGTGGGATCTCATTTGTTCGGCACACTCACTCGTTCAAACATGGCCAACCAATGATCAACGTCGACACCATCGGTCCCGTAGAATGTACCGGGATCCTTAAGTGGCGTGAATATTGATGGTTGCGACGCCGTGTTCGTCGGAGACGCTGATGTTGACGCGGAGGGCTCAGCATCGGCCATGGCTGGAAAACCGATGCGGCGTCCGCTGAGGAGCTCCGTTGCCTGAATGTTACCCAGCACCTTCACCAATATGTTACGGGGTTGGAGACTTCTGTACAAAATGCATTTACAGAGGAAAAACGACAGGCAAGAGTCACAATGGCTGATTGGCACACTCCCATGTTTGTCAGCTGCTTGAGTCATTCCTCTTCCTTTACTTCATCTCCGTAACAATATATATATATATATATATATATATATATATATATATATATATATATATATATATATATATATATATATATATAAGGAAATAAAGGAGCACACGAAAATTTGATAGTTGTTTACTCTACGTTTCAGTCGTGGCACGGCCTTTGTCAGGATTAACAGAAATACGAGTATGCGGCCGCTTTTATGGGCAGGCATGAACACGTCAGTAAAAAAACGTGCGATCAGCATGTGAGTGTCACAAAAATTCTTTGAAACAGCGGTGACTACACTAAAAAACCATTAAAAAATGTAATACAATAGACAAGATTGTGGGCATGTAAAAAAGCATTTGTAACATTCACCATTGACGACGAGAACCAAGCATGAAAAAAATAAAGAAATAAATAAAATAAAATAAATAAATATGTGATAACCTTTAGGAAGCATAGAAGACATTAGGAATGCTTCTTTAAATATTTCGCAAAATTGTGGCCGCCAGGGCATCGTAGAAAGGCATGACACTTTGCCTACGCATTCGTTAATGCCGGATAACAAACTATTGAACTTGTGAATCAAAAACGATTCTCGAATTTCGCGATCATGGTGCGATTTAAAGCCTGATTTTAATAGTGTCACCATAATCCTGTCAAACGAATGACCTGGTAGATGAAAATGCTTGAACAGTGGAAGATGTGACAAACTGTTTACGTGTGATTTGTGGTTGTTGAAACGGATGCGAAAAGATGTTTCGGTTTGACCGATGTATTGCATGTGGCAGATTAAGCATTCAAGTAAGTAAATGATGTTGCTGCTATCGCAGTTTAAGTCCCCTTTAATCCCAAGAGAAAAGTTAGATGCCGTGCTTTTAGCAACAGTCGCAGTGATCATGTGCGCACAAACTTTACATCGCGTCTTTTTACAGGGGTGACAACCAACGGGAGCAATCAATCTAGTCTTGGAAGAAGTTACCATGTCGCGCAAGTTCCTTGATCTTCGATATACAACCCGCGGTGATTCAGTGAAGATGTCCTTAAGCTGATCGCTCTGTGTCAGTAAGTTGTAATGCTTTCTGAGTATATGCGACACGTTAGGAATAGATGCAGAATGCGTTAGAACGAGGTTGATTCGGGAAGGTGGCGCTAATCGCTTGTCCTTACTGATGAGCCCTTTTCGATCGAGACGTTTGGCCCACTGGAGAGCGTCGTCAATTATTTGTGAAGGATATTGTTGTTCGGTTAATGCTTTACTGAGCTGGTCACAGTTGCGAGTGAATTCCCTGTTGTCCGAACAAATACTTTTAAAACGGATAGCTTGGCTATAGGGGATACTTGTTTTGCAGTGTTTGACGTGACAACTTTTAAAATGAAGGTATCTTTGTCGGTCAGTGGGCTTCCTGTATAGATTTGTCGTTAGTTTACCATTGCTTAAAGCTACATTGACGTCAAGGAAGTTTATGGTGACTGGTGAATAAGAGTGGGAAAAGGAGATGGATGGTTCTACTTTGTTGAAGTCTGCAATGAAAGAATGTAGTGCCGCTTCACCATGGTGACAAATTGAGCAAATGTCGTCAATGAAGTGTTTGTAATAAAGTGGTTTAAGGTCACGAGGGGTGAGAAAGTTATTTTCTAGAATGCCCATGAAGATGTTTGCATAATTGGGACCTATTTTTGTGCCCATCGAGGTGCCGCTGGTTTGAACATAATGTTTACCGTTAAATTCAAAGTTGTTAAACTCGAGTATCAGTGCTAAAATAGTGCCTAAGGTGGAACCGTCGATGGGTTTGTCATTTACCGAGTCATTGTATGCTTGGAGTACAGAACGAATCCCGTCCGCATGGGGTATATTTGTGTACAGTGACACCACATCTAGTGTGACCAGAAGAGCCTCACTCGGAACGTGCATATTTACAATGTCATGCAGAAAGTTATTAGTGTCCTTGACATATGAAGAAAAGTTAGGAGGAATGGAACTAATTAAGCTGTCTGAATATCAAGACAGGCTTTCCGTGATGATTCCTATTCCTGAAATTATTGGCTGGCCTGGATTGTTTTGTTTATGAATCTTAGGAAGCAGATAAAATCTACCAGCTACCGGACACAGGGGGACTAAGGATTTAAGCGCAGTTTCTGGAATTTTATTTTTTCTTACAAGCTCTTGTAACGTTTATTTTACTTTGGTATTGAATTCCTCGGTTGGGTCGTACCTCAAATGTCTGTGAAATGTGTGGTCATTTAATTGCCTGTGGGCCTCACGAAGGTAATCAGCCTTATTCATTACTACGATTGCTCCACCTTTATCAGCCGGTTTGATGACAATGTCGTCTCGGGAAGCCAGGGTCTGGATCACTTGTTTTTCTTTGTCGTTTAGGTTGCGGTGAAACGGCGATTGCTTTTTTGTATGCTTCGAGTACATCTCGCTGCACTGCTCGGATGTAAATATAGAGACATTTATCCCTTTGGGAAGGGGGAGTCCAGTGCTTAGTAGAAAAAAATGCTGTTTTGATAGATGGAGGCCGATTATGAAAGTATTCGCGTAAACGCATGCTTCTTTCAAAATGGTGTAAGTCACTGGACTCCCCATATATATATATATATATATATATATATATAATCTTTGCTGACGAGTGCTGTAGGTTTGCCCCCCCGCACTCGCGAGAGAGTTGGTACGCCACTGTCCGTAATAGCAGTCTTGAAAGCAGACAATATAGTAATGTCAGCTGCATTGTTATTAAACCACAGTTGCACAACGTCCGTGAGCTAGAACGTGACGTAGTTTAGCAGCTTGCTTTGGTTGTCCCATTTGTGTCTGGCGCCGACTTTGTCGTACCTCGCCAACCAATCTCCTACGTCTGATTCAGTGGAGCCGGGGAAAATGGGGGGATCTTGCTGAGGACTGTAATGCCACAGACATTGTCCTCGTTCGGGAGCACTTCTCACGAGATCGAGCGCTGTCCCGATGAACTGTCTCCCCCCCTCCCAGCGCCGCTTTCCGTGCAAAAGAACCGTGCAGTTCCGGGGATAACGTCGCTTCTTCCCCCGAACCACCTTGCAGTTCCGGGTATGGCTGCGTCTCCTCCTCCGAGCCCGAGAACTGGTCTGAGAGAATGGACCACAGACGTTAATTAAGGCCGTGCCGGCCCCATGTTGGGGAGAATTTGCCCCAGCCGACGTTGCCGTGCTGGCCGGCTCTGTACAAACGACAACCTGCTACAGTAAACGCTCCTTCTTGTTGCTGTTTTCAAAACGGATTACCTCCCTGCTTCACCTTAGGGCAAAAGCTTCAGCGAAGCCCGCTCGACGGCTCGCCGCTCTTTGCCACTGCTACCATCGCGACACAGCAAATTTCTAACAGGACACGCGGTGCCGTAAGTGACGTGGACGGCTAGAGGTCCCACCTGGGGAGGAGTTTCGGTGGCCATGTTGGTGTCACGAAGAAGGGGAAAGCTTACAGGAGCGAAGTTCCAGGCTCGCACGGGAGTACCCTGCTCTTCCACCAAATGTGACAAGATTTATTTACGTTCAAACGTACTGGGAGGCCAAGGAACATCAGCTGGCCGGAAGCCAAGCGAACGCAAGCTCAGGTTGTGCGCAGGTATCACGAATGTAGTGGCTTGCCTTGGTAGCTTTTTCGTTGTCGTCTCGCATTGTTCCCTACATAAGGAATACTCTCCTGTTTTTTTTTTCTCATTTCACTTATAAGTACTAGAAAATTACACTAGAAATATTTCATTCGCTTCTCACTCACACTTCGATATTTGAATTCACTTTTTACCCGAATTTCGCTATTCGCACAACTGTACTATTGACTTAGCACTAATTAAGTGACACAAAAAGAAAGCAGACAAGGGCACGTGCCAAGCTTGCCTGCTCTGTTTGTTTCCATTTGCACTAAATGAACATAGTGAAAATGCAGGAGCGGTCATTCATGCTGTTGTTTTTAGCAAGTTCAATTTCTCTAAATTAGGCCAAGGAAAGCCTGGCATTATGCTGAGATGTGGTCGTCCTGGTTAGTGTTACCAATCACCGGTAAGAAAAGGATCAACCAGTGAACTGTACTGTGTACTCACTCTCAGCTGCATTTGCGTGATGTGGCCGCCTCTGGAAGTAATAAAAGGACACTTCAACAGTTCACACAATGTCAATGCTTGGTCATGGTGGGCAGAAGAAATCATACACATGATGTCATGTTTTGGCTGAAAAAAAAAGTTAGAGCCCAGCTTTGCCATTTAGCTGGAGAGGCACAGAGAGCTTTGTCTTCAGTTATAGCTCTTTCGGCTAGAAGTTTGCTTTTTTTTTGTTTCAGAACAACCAGTTCAACTTGGCAAAGATGGCTACCGGACTGCAAACATCTCGCCTAATTGTGAGGCGTGCAGCGCAGTCCATAGATGACAACACCCCTGACAAGATGACACTGTGTGCCATGGCCAAGCTACATGCCACCGATGTTGGCTTCAAGGTTGTCTTTGCTGACTCCATTGTTCGAGGTTACTTAAAGATGAGGGAACTAGTTGATTAAGGCATTAATGGGCTGTCGTGAGTTGTACGTTTTCATGGCTTTTGAAACCTGCAAATCACAAACACAGGCGGGCTACAGAAATTTGTGGATGGGGAACCCGTGCCCGAAATGCTGACTTGATAATGAAGGCCACTTTCATGCTTGAAGGGACTAATCCATGGTTGCTATAGGAGGAATAGATGGGCTATGTGCTAGTGCGTCATAAAAAAGTTTGAATGCTAGAGAAAAGAGCACACATCAGATACACTCCGCATACAACTGACTTTCACAGCAGCCACAGGATGATTTACATGAGAATCCGCATAAGACAACTGCATAAAGTGCCTGGTCGCGGACATCCGAAGAAAGTAAGGATTAGAAAGAATAGCATTCCTTCTATCCTTGTACCACTATACTGGATCATTTGTGCGAAGCATCGCATTGAAAATTAAATTGTGTGCATCACAAAAATAAATGTTTTAGATTACGAAAGTCAAGACAAAAATTATCCGGCGATTGCAATACACTCAATTGCTAAATGATAGTAGCTCTATATGTGTCTTAATTTTGTAATACACTAGATAGTGCAGGCAATTACACTCGTGCAGTAACGTTCCAAGCAAAGTAAAATGTCTTGCTAACCTGCAGATTCTGAGAGTCAATGCGTGTGGTGCAATTCACTGCAGCTGACATTGACAGACAAGAAGCACAACTCAGGCATCATCTCCGAGTCGCATGCAGCATTCCGCTTTCCTGATCACTTTTGTGCCGTCTTCTTTATGCAATTGTGCTGTGATTCTTTTTGCATCACCAATGCACCCAAATTTTCGTATTGTCATTCTTTACACAACCCGTCTGCTTTCATCTTTCACTGTGTTTGTTTTCTCAGTTACAATGGACGAAGCATGCTGACGCCCAACGCTAGAAGGAATGCGCAAGAACTGTACTCTAGAATGCCATAGCTGCCAACCACCTTGAATGCAGAGCCTAACTGTTCCTTTGAGATTCATAGCCAATGTGGCGTTTGTTTGAGAAAAGAGGGTTGATTAATATCAATCGCTGACTAAATGCAGATCACCAATCAGGCCCTCCAGATGATGGGTGGTTATGGCTTCATCAAGGATTACCCCATCCAGCAGTATCTGAGAGACCTAAGGGCACATCTCATCATTGAAGGTGATTAAAACTTTTGCTGCTGCTGCACCTCTCTAACGAACTACAGAACCTCTAGTGTCCTGCTCATGTGTCTATGCAAAAATGTTTAAGGGAAAACCGACACAAGTGACGTAACTTCTAAGGTTCATGCCGACACTCATCATCTACAAAACAGCAAATGTAGACTAAAGCATATCTAAAATCAAATTCAAAGTGTACTCCATGCAACTAATTGTGGTATTGAGCACCCCTCAGCGTCAAAATTAACTTTTTTAAATATCAGCGACCAACAACAGCCCAAGTTATGAGTTTGTGCCACACTACCAGCATGTGCTTTGTGCCACAGTCGTCAACACTCATGTACACACAGGTAATATCACTCTTGGCATCATCACTGTTTTATGTGGACCCACTGCAGCTGTGCACAATTAAGAACCTTCCTAGTCTTCCATGTTCCTACTAAAACTGCGACTTGATGCTGCAGAAGCATCGCCTAATGATTACCTGTCATGGTGAGTCGGTCTCTTATTGAATCGGAAAAAACAAGGTGCAAATATCAGTGCTCCTTCACAAACCACTCCTCGAGAGGCTACTCCTGATGGCTCAGCTCGTTCCATGCTTATGGCACCTTCTTCAGAGCTGCGAGCACTTGCTGTTTGGCACCAAACAACAGGTAGCATGCTATGAACGAAGAGTGGCTTAGATAAACGAAGAGCGGCTTTTGCATTAGATGCGCTTCTTGCTATAAGAGTGGCACCACATGCCAGCGGTGCACTCCGCAGTCTACTAACATTACACTGTTGCCACACTAGTGCATGCAGCAATTACAATGGGAAAGAGCGGTTGCTCTTAATCATGTGCGCTCTAGGTCGTGATGCACACGTGATGAAATGTGATCACTCTTTTCCGATTGTGATTCGCCATGAAGCGCCTGTGACATAACTTTCTTCTACTGTCACATGTATAGCTGAGTGGGAGATGAAAAACCCTCAAAGCATGTGACAAATCTCAGTAACTCCAACCATATTTAATTGATCATAAAAATTTTTGCAGCAGTCAATACTTGAAGCAATAAACTTCAATTGTGAGCTCATTCATTGAAAAGTGGCTCAACATTCTTCCAAAGGACATCCCATTTTACATTGGAAGTAAAACCAGACCAGCAGTATAAAATAAAGTAATAACATTTCAAATACTGGGAGTTCTTAGCTGGGCGAGTTGGCTTGCAATAGTAACAGTTGTTGCGGTTTCACGTCGCAAAATCACATTGTCATAAGGGACGCTGCAGTGGAGGGCTCAGGAAATTTTACTACCAGGAGTTGGTGTTCTCAAAGTTGAGCACACTGGCCGCTTCCATTCTGCCTCCAACAAAATGCGGCTATTGTGGCTGAGATTTCGTCCCGTGACCTGTTCGCCTGCAGTCGAGCATGATAACTGCTAAACCATCGCAGCATGTTAATTGTGTTAGTCCAGTGCGATGACAACATTGAACTCTTAAATCAAGGTTCCTTCACCAGGACAGGAACTTCATAAATTATGGTTTCATTAGATCAAGTCTTAACTATAGAGCTTGAACAAGAATTTATGATTGCTGGGCAGCCAATTTTTAAATTATGCCCGGCATGTTCATAATATTGCACAGCAAGAAATTGCATCACCAAACCTGTCAGGGAAGCTGCAATTTTTTAGGTGTTAGTTTTGAGTTTGAGTTTAGTTTACTTTACCACGTACAGTTGTACAGTAAGTGGCTGGGACAGAGGAAAAAAGTTGTATAAAACAGCTTGACTAAGCCCCATATCCCCATGGCAACTGTGGCAAGAAAATGGCAAAAGCAAAGTTAACACAGGACATTTTAAACCAGCAATCCATATGCTTTGCATCGGAACAAAAAGTTAAACAAACTTATACAAACCAGAAACGCACATGTTATACTTTGAAAGAAAGAAGTAACCAAACAGAAAATAATACTGCACACAATTTAATAAAGCATATTTAAAATGGAAATATTAGAAAGCATGCAAACATTTTCACAATTAATTCCCTATTTATTTAGTCTATTAGGCAAGCAATAACACAATGTCTGAAAATCATAGTTTGTGCGTGGTCTCGGCACATGCCAATATTCAAAGTGTCAGTTTAGCTGCATCGAAGGATTTAATTACAGGTTAGCTAAACTACATATATAGTCGTGACCTTTTATGGTATCAGATCTAAAAGAGACTGCTAAAGAATATTTCTAGAGTAGGTGTAATTTGATCATTTTATATTTAGCGAATAATTGTGAACTATGGGCATTAAAAGGGAAGTTATCAAGAGATTGTAGCACTTTTTTGTGTATGATAATAAGATTACTAATAGATTGCTTTGTTCTGTTACCCCAAATTAGGTTACAATAACTCAGATATCATGTAGAGAGCGCAATTAATATCAGAAGTTTTTGAGGAACTGGCAATAAACCCTGACATTTTCTCAAGAGACCCAAGACTTTGCAAAGCTTATTGTAGAAAAATTCGGTGTGATAATCCCATTTCATGTGCTCGTGAAAAACAACGCCCAAAGACTTCTCGGTTGCAGGAAATTTGATGATGTTGCTATTTAACATGAGATTGTAGGATTCAGTAATTTCATTGAGGGGGGATTTGAAGTAAAAAAGAACAGCTTTTGTTTTGGAACAATTTATAATAAAGAATTTTTAAGGGTCCAGCTCTATATCGTTTGTAATGTTGAATCAGCAGCATTTACGAGATGACTAACATTTGTACCTGAAAAAAATAAGCTTGTATCGTCTGCGTAAGTTATGTATTGGGCTGAAGGGTCAACATATACAATATCGTTTATAAATTTAATGAACGAAAAGGGACTCAATATGCTGCCTTGGGGAACACAATCTTTAACAGTTTGCACGGACGAAATTTTCTTGTTTATAGATACACACTGGTGTTTGTGTATTAGGTAGTTTTCAATCAGATTTAGAGCTACACTATGAATTCCATAACACTGCAGTTTTCCTAATAGTGTGTTGTGGTTTATTTTGTCGAATGCTTTTGGCATATCTAAAAATATGCCAAGTGTGAACTTTTTGGCCTCAATATTCTTGAAAACCAATTCCTTTTGAAACAATAGAGCTCTTTCGGTTGAGAAGCCTGATCTAAAAGCATATTCTGATTGGGTTATAACGGAATGTTTATCGAAAAAATTCAATAGTCTAGCATGAATGATTTTTTTAAGTCCTTTGGGTAAAAGCGGGTGAATTAAAATCGGCCTGTAATTAGTTAAAGTGTTTTTGTCTCCACTTTTGTGGATCATCGTCACCTTAGCATCCTTCATATTCTGTGGAAAAATGCCGCTTTTCAAGAAAACGTTGTAAATGTGTGTCAGACATGGACTGAGTAGATCAAGAACATGTTTTATTGCTTCCATTTTTAAGCCATTTAAATCCTCTATCTTAGACATCTGAATGCTTTACCTAATAGTTTTCCGCTATGTCCGTGTCTATCTCTGTGTTGTTCGCATTTCGTTTTCGATGCCGTGCGTGCGTGCATAGTTTCACTGCGCACGCATGGTGTGCATGTGTGTGTGTCTCCCAACAACGTTTAGCATTGCTTTTTTTTATTGTGATAGCAATTATGTATATGGACAGTCTTGGCTGTATTTTTACATGCGGAGCATGTTATACTAGAGGCTAGTCATGCGTCGTCACTGTCCGCAGCCTCCCCTCCTCCTCCGCCAGCCATCTGTGCATTCCTTCCTCCTCTCAACACAGCGTGCACTGAGCTCGCTTCTCCCCTCCGCACGCCGCGCGACCTTTAGTTTTACGTGCGCCAGCTGTATGCTAACGCACGCAAGCGCAGGCCGGGGCCGGCGCTCACTATAATTAACCGAGTGTTGGGGCGCGTCGTCCTATGTCGGTTGGTTTGTGCGGTCGCTCCACGTCTGATGTCGCTGGTGAAAATGTATGCTAACGAATCCGCAAACACAATTACTGACTTCCCTTCCAATAGCATCAGCCAATGTGTTGGCGGAATCGCAAGCAATTCCGAAGACACTTCATCCGTGGACGAGACCGCGCTGAGAAGAGCTCGCAATGCGGAACGCAAACGTCGGCGTCGAGCGGAAGATCCCCAGCTCCGAGAACGTGAAGCAGCTGCGAGACGTCAGCGTCGAGTGGAGAATCCCCAACGCGAAGCAGCTGCGATACGTCAATATCGAGCGGAAGATTCCCAGCTTTGAAAACGCGAAGCCACTGCGAGATCCACTCGTGTTCACTCATAACACACACGCATGTCGCAAATTACAAACCCCATTTATCGTAGTTCAACATATATGCTCCGCATGCTAACCAGTGTTCCCCCTCGGGAAACTGCGGTCATTTTTTTTTTCTCGTCTTCATTCCCCCTATATGTATAGATGCCTATATATATATGAAAACTCAAAAAAAGAAAAAAAAGCCGCCCACGCTCGGCGCCCAGCTCCTCGCGATGCGCCCACGCGTGCTTATCTCCCACGCGTACTTTGCCCCAGGAATGGGGGGAGGGATTGTTAGATGCTTGTGTGCGCGCGCTTACCCTTCGGTGGGGAGAATCGCATGCCTTCGACTTTGACCAGAGCGATCACGTTTACTGGGCGCACAAGGATCACTTCGCTCTTTTTACACTGTCCCTTCACGTTGAAACCGCAGTGATACTCGCCAAGATAGCAAGCGATCGCGACCGCCCTTAAAAGCCAAAGTCATTTTTGCTACTCCAGCGATTCTCCCCCCCCCCCCCCCCCCCCCCCACACACACAGACACATTGTTTCATGCTCGTTCAAGACAGGTGCTTTACTTTCTGTTTGAGCATTCAACGGCAGTGCTAACATGCGGGAGATGGTATGCACTTTCCAGTCGATAGGGATGGGCTGACTCATTTGACTCCTGCTTCAGCAGTGCTCGCGCGCTTTTGCCCTCTCGTGAAAGTTATGATGTGCGATGGCGTGTTATCACTTTGGACTTGTTACGGAACATGGCAGTGACAGCAAAAACCCGCTGACAGTGTCCATATAATTGCTATTGTAATAATAACGCAGTTTTTTACTGTAAAATAAGTGTTTTGTGTTAGCTCTGCCTTCAGTCCCCCTTTTGTTTAATTTGTGCAATTATTTTCTGAATTTTCATACCGAACCTGCATATAACGAAATCCTCTTTATAAGGAATTTTTCTGGAAATTAATAAATTTTGTTATATTCAGGTTTAACTGTATACCAGAAGCGGATTGTCTGGACTGATAATGGAATTGGGGCGCAATGAAATATACAAAGAGGTGGTCACTAATTGTGGTAGATATGAAAGTATGGATTCTGAGGAAAAGTTTGTTACGAACAGGTCTAATAATGTTGCACTCGATAGAGTAATACGAGTAGGAGTGACAATAACATTTGATAAAAAGTGAGAACCAAGAAGTGTGGAAAGATCATTTTGTTTAGTTTTTTTGTGTTTGCTAACATATCAATATTCAGGCCACCTCTCAATACAACGCTATAATTATGGTCATTAATGAAAGCAAACATCTGATCCAAGAACTGCGTAAAGTTGTTAATATTGCCATCGATAGGTCTGTACACTGTCACAAATACACAGTTGTTCATTTTAACAGATAAAATTTCACAATCATCCTAGCATTGACACCATTCATTTTTGACCGTTCACATCTTATTTCATGTTTAAGGTACATACATACACCACCTGCTCTTCTTTTTCTATTTAAGTACACTGTATTGTAGCCTTCGATAGTGATAACATCCAAGTCATCATGATACCACGTTTCTGTAAGCATTATTACAGAAAAATTAGCTTTAAACTGATCGAAAAGAGCAAAGAGGTCGTCGTCTTTACAACGTGCGGACTGCATAATACTATGAAGTACAGCTAGAAATGAGCCGCCCAGATTCTCAAAAAGTGTGTGTACTTGACAGGGAGTAGAAGCCATCATATTAGCGTTCATTTGCAGGTAATAGAGATAAATACATATAAACAGGCAGTAAGGTTACTGAGTATAACAAAGTAGCAGCTCTTGAATAGGATGCATAAGTAAAGTAAATAAAAATATGCAGTAATGATGGTTTTTCATTATTTACAGTACCACACTTTGGTTCCACAACGATTGATAACCAAACATAGATAATGAACAAGTAATGCATAGTATTTAGAGCAATAGCATTACTCAAGCTTGCAACAATATTACCAGCATAAAACAAATATTCAGTTATATAGTATCAATCAAAAATAGAGTACACAAGATTCCGTGTGGCATGCAAAAACACTATGAAAAGGCATTAGGATTACATTTTCTTGTTTAGCAAAAAAATAAAAGATAAAAAATAGCATACAGAATCACAACTAGGAAGATCATTATAACGAATTGTTACACTACCCGCACCAAGTCTTCTTCGCAGGTTATGCACACGACTGCTGTGTTCTCTAACTTCCGCATCAAAATCTTTCCCTGTGACACCCAGATGAATTTCCATTTCTTTTCTTTCCTTACTTGCCTTGCTTTAGCTAGCAGAATTTTGTTTTCATGGCAGAGATGCTCATGGACGTACATTAAGCCATCTATGTCGAACCCTAAATCTCTTGCATTCAGTTTTCTTTTCTTTGCGACCGAAAGCATTCTGCTCTGGTGGCTCACGAACGAAATCTCACGATCACATGTGGCTTACTCTTATCTTTAGATGGCATACAATGTGCAATGTCTATGTCTTTGTCATAGGTGTGTCGGTGGGCAAAATGTTTGGCTATTTAATCCTCTTAATTTGAGAAAAACTCGTACATATTGCTTTTTTTGTCAGGAACCAATGAAGTGATGAAGATGGTGATATCAAGGGATATATTGCAGGGCTAAACACACTGAACGTAAGTCGGCCTTGATATTTAAAGGTAGTCTTACTACGCATGTACTTTTCTTGCCATCATCAGTTTGATTTAATATGCATCGGTGTATGGTCTAACTCAATTTCTTTATAGGCAAAATTTACCAAAATATTGCCATTGCCAATTATAGCTGCGATGGTGCAGCAGCTGGACTGTGTGAATCTATGCAATTGGTTTAATCAATAATTCTACACGAAGCTGCAACAAATCCATCTGCAGTGCATGCAGTCAGTGTGGTAACATGAGAGGAAATGTTCCAGGAAGTCTACTGCACTCATCTGTATATGTCATTGTAGCGGTACATTAAAAACTCAATCATACATAAAGGCCTTTTCTGTAGCAATAAGAATAATCATGCATGGGTCTTGGTGAATAGTACCCAGCATTTGTTGACAGTATTTTGTGCTGTTGCTATTTTGAGAATAGCTGTACAATATTGCGTGTTTTTGAACGCTGAGAACTGTAATCTCAGTCTGATTGTGCATAGTGGCCCGGAAAAGTTCGTGAGCTAAGGCTAGCTAAATGCTGTTGCATTTTAATGTGCTGAGTGAAAGGCACAAAGGACTAACTCCTAGAATGATGCGAGATGTGTGCAAACTGTTTTTTTTCACAGATGCACATTCAGACTTCATTTTAAGGTAGATTGATTGATATGTGGGGTTTAACGTCCCAAAACCACCCTATGATTATGAAAAACACCGTAGTGGAGGGCTCCGGAAATTTCTCATTTTAAACCAGTGCGCAAGATGAAAGAAGATCTAACAACACGAGTGCTGAATGTTTTTCTGTGTCTTTTGACGTTTGCACAGTGTCAAGATGAACACAAACCAACTTCCCAGCTTTCGCTTTTTTAAAGCTTTGCACAAAGAACAGTAGTGATGATGATGAACATTATCGCAATGCAGTATTCATGAAAGCGAGTCATTTAAACTCTCAGCTTGCATGTGTGTTGTGCCGACTAATCCAATAGTTGTTGATGAAATTGTAGCTTCCTCGCTTTATGCAAGAGAAGGCGAGTTCACATGGTTTTGTGACATGAAATATATGTTTCCCGGATGTCACGTATTCCTTTAAACTGCAATGCATTAACTTGTGCATGTTATTAAACACGGGCTTGCATTCACAGCTTGCACATTGTGTAGCTAAAAAGTATAGAAAAAACTTAAAACCATAGAAATGTAGGAGTGCCGGTCGGGACATTTGTTTGGAATCAAATAAACTGAACGCGTTAACTGATATGCAGAAGACTGCTTTGCTTTCTAACAACATATAATAAATGTAAAAAATGATAAACATTACATATCTGTTCATTGCATTTAGGTTTGACTAACTGTTATTCCTAGCCAAATCACCTGATGAGCATGCTTACATAGTTTTTCAAAAATTGCAGAAATGGGACACCAAGAATAGACACTGAAGCTAACTTCCAACGGGGGTCTTTATTGCACAAATGTGAAGTATACAGTCAGAAGAAGACACAAGAGAAGACACGTGAAGACAGTGATAAAAAATAAGGACACTAGAGGCTTGTGTTAATGTATTAATCTTGCAGATACGTGCATTTTTTTATGAAGTAACTGAATGTACACTCATGGCCTCTGCTTGATAATGGCGAATGCCTCAGATATATCTTGCGAACGCTGGTCTGCGTGCTTTGTGATGACGGTGACTTGATTAAAATTCAATGTGCAATTACAAGACCTCAAGTGCAGTGGTAAGTTGCTGCCATGCATTTGCTTAACATTTTTGTAATGCTCCCTGAAGAAATCGTTGGGGCAGTGTCCAGTTTGCTCTAGGTACCAGCAGTGACTGCACCTCAGAGGGATGTCATATACGACTCCCTTGATGCAACTGGTAATGGGTGTGAGGTGTTTTTTCTCTCCTCGTCTCTTCGGAGGTTCATCTCGGTAGACCTTCCTGCATAAGACATTGAGCTTTTTCGGGGCTGAGAAAACAACTGAAACTTCTGCCCTGCCTGCCGCCTTCTTTAATTTGTGGGACACTTCATGCACGTACGGAACATGCAAAGTGTCAGACAGATTGAATTTGTCAGTCTCAAGTTTCTCTTCTTTTTCTTTTTTCCAAATCTCAATTATGTCCTGCTGCCAGGAGGCACCTAGTAAAACCTGCTTGCCGTTTCAATCTCTTGAGTGCATAATCTTTGCAGTGCGTTGCGGGGGCCAGATTTGGCAACTCCTTTCTTCACAAGCCTTGTGTGGGCTGATGAGAATGGCAAGCGGCTTCTGGCAGAGCGAGGTGCATACCTACACTATACATGTACATTTTTGAACAAAAGAAACAGGTTAACAAAGCGCAGTGTGCCATCCTCTGGCAGCTCCATGGTGAGCGTGAGACCATTCATTAGTTTTCTCTTTCTTTTTTACATGCATTGATACAGACCAGGTTGTCCTCAATATACCTGAACAGCTTCTTGGTGTGGTCCCGCGGAAGTTTTCTGGTATGCAGGACAGGATCGAGGGCCGCCGTAACCTCGCGGCAGGCCAATGGAGAGGTCGAGCAACAGGAGGCACGCACAGCGCAACACACAGAAGGGCTTTAGTGAGATGAACGAGAGGCTGTTCTCCCACATTCATTGCAGGGGGTTTCAAAACGACGAAGGGTGATTGGCTTGCGTGGCTTGGGTCACATGAACTACACGGCCACGCCAGTTAGATAAGATTTGTGGGGTTTAACGTCCCAAAACCACCATATGATTATGAGAGACGCCGTAGTGGAGGGCTCCGGAAATTTCGACCACCTGGGGTTCTTTAACGTGCACCCAAAGCTGAGTACACGGGCCTACAACATTTCCGCCTCCATCGGAAATGCAGCCGCCGCAGCCGGGATTTGAACCCGCGACCTGCGGGTCAGCAGCCGAGTACCTTGGCCACTAGACCGCCGCGGCGGGGCACCCAGGTAAGCTTAGAAAGCAGACATAGTGGAGGCTTATCTTTATCTAGTGGCATGTACCGAGAATGTTACCACACTGGTGTGCGTACATGACACTAGGGGTCGCACGACACAACAGTTCCCTTCAATGTCACAATCATAGCAGGCGGGCAACGAGTCGCTTAGTACAGGTGCAAGGCAAAAGCTGATGCACACTCCTTCCTAAAATAAAAGTAACAGCCCAAACACATGGCACATCTCACATAGAAAAGACATTACACAAGAGCACTGTTGATGCAACCCTTACCTCAGGAAAATGTGCGAACTAGACCCAGTTATTGAACCACACTTCTTTGTTTTGAAGAAATGTTTTCCCTGCAAACTGCACTATCATGGAGCACAAAGTACATCACCAGCAGGTCAAGGAACCTGTCCCCACTAGTTATGCACTCGTTTCGGATGCACACAAGCTAGTGTGTTTCTGTTAAAGCTTCGACTAGACATGAGTGTTGCGAAGAATAATACAAATAATTCATGTCAATGGTGAATGTGTTGGTTCTCGGGATGTAAGAATGGGCTTGTTAGTAGTGATACATAGTGAAACTTGGGGTGGCAAAAAAAGTTAGGGCAGTATGATGCGCTTACTTCCATCTTGCTCTGGAAAGTAAGCTCATCGTGCTGTCTTCACTTTTTTTGTCTGTGTCTTCTTTGTGTGCTACGCATTTCATGATTCTGGCTGTGACTGATAAGTTGGAGTATTTGGAAGTGGCAAGCACTGCGAACCAGGTAGGGATTGTCCATCTCAAGCAGGCCAAGATGTTTCTGCAGGAAGTTGGCCAGCGGATTTTACCGGTCACATCATCATTCTGAAGAGACAGCCATTCTTACACGTCTTTGCCGAGAGGGAGACCCCTGGGTTCTGTCCAATCTTCTTCTTGGTCACTGAGACAAGTCCAACGTTTTCACACACGTTTAACTCTTCTTCACATTACCTGTTACCAGATGCATCAAGGGAGTTTTATACAGCGTTCCTCTAGGCTGCGGCCACCCAAATAATTGTTTTAGGGAACATGTTGAAAATTTTAAGCAAGAGCGCAGCAGCAATTTGGCACTACACTGCAAGTCTTGTATATCAAATTTTAGTCAAGTCACTCTCATCAGAAAACGTTTGAACCAGTGTATGTGCAAGAACACTGAGACAGTCACCATTATCAACTGAGGCCCCTAATACGCCAGTGCTCGTCCTGTGTTCAAGTAGAATTCTTTGTTGGTGCACGTTTAAAGAGAGTTCGTTTCCGAGGGATTAGAATTGAGTCACAAAACGTCTGATCAACTCCCACTAGCCAGTGCTTAACAGAAGGTTTCAATGGGACAAACACAAGAAGCGACACGGACAAGGGCCTACTTGTTAGTTCATCAATGTCACTTCTTGCACTCGTGACTTTGGCACCTTATGTCTTCCCATACTCATCCTGTCTTTGTTTCTTCATAGCCTGCATATTCTGGTGCTGTTGCAAAGATGAATTCAGAAGAAAATAGACTATTTGCATGATTAATGCCTCGTTAGAAGGCTCTAGTCAATATGTTTTCTCATGTTTATCTGTATCTGCCCTTGTCTCTCCTTTTACATTTGCACAAGAAAACTTCCTGTTAGAAGTCAGCGCCTGTGTTGGGTGATATATTCTCGGTGTCCTGATTGAAAAGCTGTGTGTACGCACCAACAAGCCCGCCTAAGCGTCATTTCGACTATGTGTCCTATGCAAGGCATTTTTTTTTTCTGGATAACATGTACAGAATTTTGTATGAAAATGCTATATTAGCCTGACTTCTGATTTCTTCACGCAAACTCCGCATCTAATTGGAAATAATTGGCCACATCTAAAGTGAGACCGATGCAAGTAATAAGAACTGGTTAATTAACTTTTTAGTGATTGATATGACGGCAGTTAGGCCATGACAATATGTGCCATACATATTTTTTTAGAATGCATTGTAATTGCATGAACGCATTGGAGTTACACAAGTTATTGGTTTTTAAAAATTAATGAGTATGTCATAAATTATCACGTCTTACAACTACACTTAAGTTGATATTTAAATCGTTGATTAATGAGTATATCAGTGTCACGTCTACCTCACTTTAGTTGCCGCAAAGTATTGCCGCCACAAAGTAGAGTTGTTGCGCAAAGATGACAGGACTCCGATTGTCCGATTATCTTCATTAAACATCTGTATTGTCAAGAAAGAAAACGCACTGTGTGCGTGCCACTTGCAAATTGACATCTTAAATGTCTTCTTATATTTACAGAACTGAAACAGCTCTGTCTTCCCACATCCACACTGTGCCATGTGATGCTGAAACAACACACGAAATGTGCACAGTAATCGAGCTCGCAGATCTATTCAAATATTTCTAAGGATAAGCTGGTGCCCCATTTTCATATGCGTATGAAAAGGACAATGCACTGTACATAGCGTTGTGTGACCGTTATAAAGTAAATATAACTAGCCCTGATATTTTTTTCAACCTTTGCTCTGTGATTTTGGCCAGCTTGTCAACACTGAAATTCTCACACAAAAATGGACTGATGCAACAATTTACGTAAATGATGCATGCCCTTACTAGATAGATGACCTCTCACCAGTGTTAAGGCTATTTGTATTGTAAACAGCTTCCACAAGTGCAAATAGCCAGTGATGGACTTTAACCAAACATGTAACACTGTGCCATCATGCTGGTGCCACAATTTAGAAAATGTATTCAGTGCCCTTGGGATCAGCTAGAGCGAGTTTGAGCTTTTTTCGGGCCCTTAAATGCATTTCATGGTACTGTTATTAGTTTTTTTTTTTTTTTGCAGATTGCTTAGATGCATAGCTGATAATGCTTTTAGCATAGGTCCAAGCATCTTTATGAAATACTATAAAGCTTTCATTGTGCAGAAGAAATGGTACACCCCTGCACACTGCCTCAAAGCATATTGGTGGTGGCCACAGCAAACATTTATAACAACTACATGTCTGCTCCTTCATTCGGGACTAGTTGGGAACAATTTTGCACATGGCCGCCTCACTGCCATTAATAGATTGTTGGTTTTAGTGCTTTCTTTTTTCTCTGCTTTATACAAGAACATAGCCAGTCAATAAAAGAAGATGGGCTATGTAATGATGGGTGCTTTGCATTGCTCCATGTTGCAGACATGTGCTTTGCATCTTTTAGCACTGTCCTTTAATATGTGCTGTTCACTAGTGGGTGTTGTTTGCAGGCTTAATGTTTGTTACCATAGCGACAAGAACCAGATAAGACAGGAAGCCATGGAATCGGAGCAGCATCACAGATGAGAGAAATTAAGTTTGGAGTGATTACATGCAGTGTATACATTTCTTTTTTATTAATTTCAATCAAATTGGCTGAATAGCCTTACTGCTACTTTTGCGACACTCACCAGTGTATGTAACTAAAAATGGTAAGTTCAAAAGTGCGTGGGCAGTCTGTATCGAAGAGCGCAGACATATTTTTCACTTTTTATTTTCTTTCATTAAGTGAAAGCCCTAGGCCTTGTTGCGGACCGGGGTCAACCCAACGCGTGCCGGCTGACGTGGGTTGCCGAGACATCAGGGTTAAGTCAAACTTGGACACCTGTGGTAGCGTGGCACAACTTCGGGTGGAGGAAGCGATGCTTACAAGTAGGGGATATGAAAAATAAAACAGGTTTACTGGCACAATTTACAATTATTTACGGCATGCATGAGAGGTTAGAATTTTTCAAACCACGAGCGTGTTGGATGAACCGTCAAACCATGGTTCAGAGCAACGTTCAGCACTTTGCAGCATCGTTTCAAGCCCTGTCGGGCTACTCCTCCTCGATTGAAATACCAATCAAACGCAAGATCAGTCAATAACACAGGGTCGCCGAATAGTGATTGCATCTCCTGACGCAATGCTCCGCCGGTCCGAGTTTCACTGAGGAGAGGAGAAATGGGTTCCTTCACAGAACAAGTTGGCAGTTGGGTTGCTGGTGCCATCTTTCCCTAGAAAAGCCGCAAAGGATTAGAGGCTTTAATCGCTTAGACACGACCTGCGCGGTCGGTCTGGCTCGCTGTCTTACAAAACGAGCCAGCCTGGAGGAAATGCTGGTAGGGACGTTGGCTCCCGGACCGTCGAAGTTGGCACATTCTAATCCCTTTGTCGCTTCGCGCCGCTTGATGTTCATTCCGAGAGAAAAGCACTTGGGGTTCCGGACTTGGGAACGCGTCCATGCTATGCTTCTCATGGCCAGCATGGCGTCCACGGACGAGAGTCACAACATCCTCCAAAACATAAAGAAATTTTCATAAGCCGAAGCAATAATGGTGCCTTTTTTACAAAACCTTCTAGAACACTGCACTGGTCAAAATTTTCAGCTTGAGCTCGTCCCGTACCCGAAAAAAAAAAAATGCCTACCAGGCCCGGTCGCATATAAGGCCCGACAATGGAACGAGCCAATAAAGCTGGTACCAGAACATGGAATCGACAACACAATGTCATAAGTGACAAATATCTATGTTTGGGTGGCACAAGCTTCGTTAACAATTACAATTTAACATACATGAATTTCTTGTACACCGTCCAAACAGCTGAGCTGATTGATATAGTGGGTGCAATGAATGTTCCTACTTTTTCTGCAAATAGTATAATAGTGCCTACTTTTTCTGCAAATAGTAGGATACTCATCTGATCGGAAAGAGTCATTTAACAAAAATATGAGGACACCGACCACAAGAAAGAAAAATGCATTGATGTTGTGGGATCCAGAATAGGAGCCTTGTTTTCAATGATTGTGAACAAGGCACCAGTACTGGGTGCGAAACCGTCAACCAGGAGGATCATCAAGAGCGTTTCGCAGGAGATATTGTAGCAAAGAAAGTGATTTGCAGCACGAGTTCAGAGTGCAGTAAAAACGGAGGACACAAGGAGCAGAACACTCTCTTCCCTTTATTTACATAGTGGTCTATTATAATTGAAAGCATGCTCCAATGATGAAGCAAATGTGTGCCCTTCTGTATATGTATTTAGCATAGTAGTACCTCGCCACACCAAGATAAATAAAGAAATAAAGCCAAATTCATTAGGCTGTTGTAACTACACTAGCTTAAACAATGCGGACGATATGTACATTTAGACATATGTATAAGCAGCTGAATGGGGAAAAAAAAGAAAACCTTATTTTTATCTGTGACACCACTTCTGTTTTTTGTGGCACATCTTACTGCTTGTTTTTTCACTTGTCATTGTACAAAATATCAAATTATCAAAATATACCGGAATCTAGCACGCAGTGCTCTGTTGCATCATAAATTCTTCCGCGCCAATGTTTTTTGCGCTGTTTGTTCTAGCCGCAGGGCTGTAGTCTACATCTGCCTTGCGAATTGTGAAGGCGTCCCTAGTTGTTTTCAAGTTTCACCTTTGAAAAAAATTTAAGATGTGTTTGTGGACATCTGCAGAATGAACACAGCTGTCCAGCTCGTCCTTTCATTTGTGTCATTCACAACCGTCATGCCACTCCTCAGTGCTATCTATAAAATCTACTTTGAGCACGTCTCTTTGCAGTTTTATTTTATCAACCACAAGATTGGCACCACACTATCAGTAGCAAGCGCTTTTCTGACGAGCGTGCCACTGAGACTGATGGATAGACGGATTGATATGGCTGTACTTCTTAAGATAAAAAGGTGGCTAACGCCACCTAGCCGTAGTACTTAGAGAACCGGCAACTAGATGTGTCTCTTTTTTTTTTTCCTTTAAATAGTGAAGTTGAGGACTGTACTTAGAGAACCGGCAACTAGATGTGTCTCTTTTTTTTTTTTTCCTTTAAATAGTGAAGTTGAGGACTGGTACTTTGCAATGACGGATTTAATTTTCACTCGTGCCTTGATTTCAGCCACCAATCAGATAACCTCTTTCTATTTAGTTCTACCCGCTTAAAGTCTATTTTGCCCTTGCTGTCCCTAAACCCCAGTGCTTTGAAAAACTCTGCGCCATCATCTTGAACTATAAAGTGAAGCCCTTTACAGAACATTATCAGGTGTTCGGGAGATTCCTCCTCTCCACACGCACTACATACCTTGTCTAACCCTTCATATTTGGCCTGATAAGTCATTGTTTGCAGTACTCCCGTCCTGGTCTCAAACAGTAGAAAACTACTCCGACTATTATCATAGATCCTTTCCTTGGCACATTCTTGCTTAAAAGTTAGATAGATCTCTAGCGGGGACTTTTTAATCATGCCAATTCTCCACATGTCAGTCTCCCTTTCCTTTACCTTCTTCTTAACCGATAGTTCTTTTTGGTTTGGTCCCTTAATCTTTTCTAAGTATTTATTTGTCAATTTTCTGGTTCGCTTCCTCCATTTTGTATCGACATTCCTCGTGTACAAATAGCCAAAAACTGTTCTGGCCCAATGCACCTCCCTCATTTCTCCCAATCGCTTCTCAAATTTTATCTTACTGCTAGCTTGCCTGCCCGCGAATGATGTCCATGCCATATCACCTTGTACTCCCTGATTTGGTGTATTCCCGTGAGCACTTACAGCAAGCCTACGTATTCCACATTGCTTAATTTCTAATCTTGCTTGAACTTCTGATCTTATGCGCAAAGCCGCGTTGCCAAACATCAGACCAGGAACCATGACCCCTTTCCATATTCCTCTCAGAACATCATACCTAGTGTAATTCCACAGTGCCCTATTTTTCATCACTTCTGCATTCCTGTTACCTTTAGTCGTCACGTATATTTCGTGTTCCCTTAGGTACTCGGTCCCATTGCTTACTCATACACTCAGATATTTGTATTTATCTGTTATTTCTAGCGTGACTTCTTGTATTCTAAGCTCACTACCTTCATTATCATTAAAGATCACGACTGCTGATTTTTCCTTACTAAATCTGAAATCTAACCTATCTCCCTCATTACCGCAGATGTCTATTAATCTTTGCAAATCTTCCTTGTAGTGGGCCAGTAGCACTATATGATCTGCATACATCAATGCTGGTAATGCCTGTCCAATGAGTTTTCTTTGTTTAACAAAAGAGAGGCTAAAGCCAAGTTCAATCCCCTCTAATTTGGCTTCTAATCCTTGTAGGTACATCACGAATAATAAGGGTGACAAAGGACACCCCTGTCTAAGCCCCATCTTTATTGCTGTAGGCTCGGATACCTCTTTTTCCCATTTTATATCTACCTTGACACTTTTATAGATATCCTTTAAAAGATTAGAGACTCCATCTTCTACACCTAGTGTGTTCAGTATTCCCACAAGTCCTCTTGAACCACGCTATCTTACGCTCCCTTGATATATAAAAATGCTAGCAACAGGGGCCTGTGTAACTTTCCTGCTATTTCGATGCACTGCGTCAGTGAGAACAGATTTTCTTCCAACCTCTTGTGTTTCCGAAACCCATTCTGGAGTTCCCTTAGCACCTCCTCATCCTCTATCCATGCTTGCAGTTTTTCCTTTATAATCTGCATCGCCAGCCTGTAGACCACTGATGTAACTGTTATAGAACGGTACTTGTTTATGTCAGCTTTGTCCCCCTTTCCTATATAGATCGTGCTCATCCTGCTAAATTTCCATCCCCCGGGGACTTCACCATCGATTAGTGTTTTGCTTGCTGCCTCTCTCAAAGCCTGCTTAGACTTCGGACCTAATGTCTTCATCAGCATAATTGGAATGCCATCTGGGCCTGTTGATGTACTACTAGGAACCCTCTTCTCAGCCCTTTACCACTCTCGTTGTGAAAATGGCGCCTCTGCGCCACTTGATCCATTCTTGTTTAATAAGGTGCTTAGGGCACTTCTTTGTTGAAATTTTTCTGTCATCCTTGTTCTTGTATATTCAATAGCTTCATCCCCTTCTAGCCTAACACCTTGAGCTGTAGCTATAAATCTCTGCTTTATGCTTGTATCATTTATTGGGGAGTTTAGATGGTTCCAAAATTTTTCAGCTGCTTTTCTATCCTTTTTATGTACTTCTGCCAGCCACTGAGCCCCCTTTTTTCTAATCTTTTCATTGATCAGAAGGGATGCTTTCCCTTCCACAGCTTAGAAAGATGTCCCATTTTCTTTTAACATCATCTGTTGGTTTACCTCGATGTGTAGCACGTCTGTGTTCCCTAGAGGCTTCCTGACGTTTTGCTATGGCTCTCTTAACTTCCTCATCCCACCAACTTTTGGGTTTGTGTCTTCTTTTCTGTGGTGACTTGTCACGTGCCTTAGCAAGCTCTAACTCAAGCAGTCTGATTAGATTCGTGTACGTCCACACTGTTTTATAATCCTTAGCGATCACTTTCTCAATTTGTTTAGTGGCAATTTATATTTGCCTTCCTGAATTAAAATTCCCCTATAATTGTTTAGCTTGTCTTCTTTTCATTTTCATTGCTCTTTCAAAACTTGTCTGGGGAGCTACATTCATCTATGTGCATTCCCCCGAGCCTATCATACATCGTATGTGACATCAGTTCATAATCTATCGTCGACTGCAGCCTTCCTACCTCTTATGTTATTTGCCCTTGACACCTCTCAGTACTGTTGCAAATGATCAAATCATGCCTTTTATACATAGCCATGATCATTTTGCCTGCTGGGGCCAGTATACCCATCTATATCTTCTCTGTGCGCATTCGTATCTCCTCGTATAATTATCTTGCACTCTCCTCCTAATTCCTGAATGTCCTTTGTTATACACTCTACCATTGCTTGGTTTTCCTCTCTGGCCTTTGCTCCCGTCCACAAGTACACCAAACTAAGGAGTGTCATCTGCCCAGCTACTTTCCCTTTTAACCATAAATGTTTCGTGCATCCATGTTTGACTCTTTGCCAACACATACTTTTATGTATAAATGCCCCAATTCTGCCCCCCTTTTTGCTGCCTTCTGTTCTATTTGCAGGTTTTATTCTGTTCTGACTTAGCAGGTTAGTTATCTGAACGATTGCAAATCGTGTAGAAGCAGCAACCGCTTCCTTATTGCTGTGTAGTGCCCCAGCGGCTTTAAATGGCGCGATTTATTAAACTTGTGTGTTGACGTGATTGCTTTTGGTCTGTGCTCTCAATTAATACTGCTGCTCTGTGGCGACGTGGAATTGAACCCTGGCCCAACAAGAAGCAGTGAAATAGCCGCAGTCTTAGATTCTATCAAACGCATCGAGGACTTTTTAGAAACTATTCGATCAGAGATAAACTGCTTTAAAACTGCCCAAACTGCCCAGGAAAAACAAATTTTTTCAATTACCAACGACTTGAAAACCTAAAAAAACCAGAGCCCCAAACTAATAACCCTAGCGATAACCATTCATCTCAGATAAGCCGCGAAATTTCTGTGCTCAAAGCCGCAACTATTGACGCCAGCAACCGCCTACGACGCAACAATCTCCTCTTTCTTGGTATAAAAGACAAAATTAAAGAAACATGGGTAGAGTCGGAACAAAAGATATTCACGTTTTGCGCCGATAAGCTTAAAATTACTCTTGAACCAGGTGCAATGGAACGCGCACACCAAATCGGGACCTTCTCGGAAAATAAAACTCGACCTATCATTGTTAAACTATCCCACTACAAAACAAAGGAACGCATTTTGAGCTGCGGTCGCATGCTTAAAGACACGCACTTCGCCATTAGGGAGGACTTCGCAGCTGCCACCCGCATTGCGCGGTCAAAGCTGTTGCACTTAATCCGCCCCCAAAAGTGCACATTTAAACTGAGTCTCGACAGACTTTACGTGGACAAAAAGTGCTACATGTACGACCAGAATGCTGACAAAATTTTAGAAATACAAAAAACAGACTGTGTTTGCCATTGCTGATGAATCTCAAGGTGTGAGCAATAAAACCACTGAATGACGCCACTCTGTCCTCTGTACCTCTAACCCTCGACCAAGCCGATCATCAGCGCTAAATATAAGTGTTGCCTTCACTAATATACGAAGCGTGCTGCCTAAACTCGACGAACTACACAGCTTTATCGAAGATGTAGAAGCCGACATTATCCTTCTAACGGAAACGTGGTTACACGAAGGCGTGCTCGGCCACGAAATCTTCCCGTCTAACATGGGCTTCGCTTTATATCGACATTATCGCACTAATTGTAGGGGCGGAGGCGTGCTCATGGCTATTAGAAACAATCTATCATCTTCTCTTATCACTCATGACGACACATTAGAATTAGCTTGGGTGCGAGTCTCAAACGTTGCCGTAAATGCAATTTTTGCTGATCCGAACCAGGTTTTTCCATCCTCCTTTCAAATTCACTCACCCGGATTAAAGACAATTTAAAACTTGTCTTTC